AGCATTTTTGAGTTTACAAGATCTCCAGAATAAGTTCAACATTAAAACTAATTTTCTTACATACTATGGTATACAAAATTCTATTACAACCAGTCTAAAAAGTGAGGATATTGTCAAAGAAAACAATAACCCTAGACCAATTATACCATTTTACATAAGATTATTCTGTTCATTCAAAAAAGGTACCAAAAATATGTATGACACACTAAATACAGAAGAAAATGTCACATCTTTTTACAAATCAAAATGGGGAAAATATTTCACTCTATCTAAGTTACAATGGAAAGCAATTTTTCAGTTACCTTTTATCAGTACTAAAAGTACAAAACTTAAATGGTTACAATATAGAATTAACCATCAAATCTTAACCACTAATGTATTCATGTTTAAAGTGGGGATGAAAGATAGTAAAATGTGTAATTTCTGTAATTCAGCTGAAGAAACAATTTATCATATACTGTGGGAATGTCCCCTTGTTCAAGATCTCATCAATCTATTTTTTGAATTTTGTCAAACAAGGGATATTGTTATTCCAAGAGATCCTTGCTCTTTTATTTTGGGATTAGATCTTGACTCAAGTTGTAAGAATCTGTACCAGATATTCCTAATTCTCAAATCCTACATATACAAAAAGCGGTGTCTTAATGAAACATTATCAATCCATGGACTACTTATAGATATCAAAACTCATCTTTCAACTTTGAAGTACATAGCTACCAAAAATTGTAATCTTGAAGATTTTCATAAAGATTGGGAAATTTGGCTTTTCATACTTAGAAGGCTCTGACTATTTTGCTCGACTTTTAGAATCACCAACAGTGATCAAATAAATGTTTATACAGACAAGGTTTTTTTTCCTAATTTGTTAAAAAGCAGCCTCTCTTCCCTTTCTCTTCCCTTTCTCTCTTTTCTCTTCTTTCCTCTCAATCAGCAATCATAAGATTTATCCTTATTGTACTGTATATGCTGTTATAAAATAATTGCTGATTTGTACTTGCACTTAATAAAAAAAAAATAATAAAATTAAAAAAAAAAAAAAAAAAAAAGAGAAATGAAGCTAATTTCAACTTATGTTATCCGATATAACAAAACTTGGCGCTATCAAAAATGTTACACCCCCATTGTGACGTCATTATTTTTTAAAATGACGTACTTGTATTTCTTAATTGTTTTATCAATAAGACTTTTTAGACAAAGCCATTGCAACTACATGTATAAAATAACATTGACTGATATTCGTAATATTGATGTGAAGAATTCATCCTATAAAATTACGATTTCTCAGCGATAACTGGCGAGTAATATTACGTCTTATAGCACTATTCTGTCTTATTCATGTGTTTTGGTGGTTTAAAAATGAACACATTTTTAAAAAATAAACATAGTCCGCAAAATAACACCATCGTAAATTTTTGCATAAAGAATGCTTTTTAATCAAGATTTCATCTGAGAAAATTTCAAAGTGGTGTTATGATGCGGACCTATTGAAAAATGCTTTAAAATTAAGTAGTTGATTTTTAACGATTTTTCCTGAAATACGCATTCCATGCATGTTTTGACCGCCATAAAATAGTTAAACGGGGACACATTCTTAAAATTTTGGTTTATATTTTAAGCAAGCATATATCCAACATTTATTTCCACTATAAAGTTTTGATTCAGTTGAAACTTAAATCTATAGATGGAAATTCTCGGGGCCAAATATAATAAGAAGTGAATTTTGTTCTTTAATATCTTGGAACTTATTATAAAGCCTCACATACTTTTACCCAGGGAGTATTTTACGTAATGATCTGCTAGGAATAGTTAATCAAGGTCGCAATTTATATTTTTGAACAAATTTTACACCTTCCCTCAACAAACGTTTCAGAGAAATGAAGATATGCTTAAGAAATCAAGATAAAATTAACACCGTATTATGCATGAAAATCACTTGTTTTATTTCATATTTCAAAATAAACATCAATGACCCCAACTTTTTCTTTCATTATTTTTAATAACTCGATACTTTTGATTGATCAGCACTTACATGTACATCGTGAAACGTTTGATACAAGAAACATTTTATTACCTATTTAGATTTATAAAGCCCCAAACATGTTACTTCTTAGTGCTAAAAGGTCACACAATAATTTACGCGCAATAGTTTTTAAGATTGGTTCAATGATAAATGTTACTTAAACTGTTCTATGTTATATAAGATTAAATATTTCGCCATCGTTACATCAGATAAAATATGATAAACCATAAAGTAAATAACCAAGGAGTTCTAATTTAAGTGCAAAAAGGTCAACTTATATATATAGTGCATTCTTTTTCTTTTTTTAAATTCACAACTACTACATGTATACCTCCGAAACATTTGTCCACTTCCCAGATTTATATAAACAAATGATTCAGAGACTTAAGTGGATCTAAATTAAAGTTTTAAATCCCTTAGACATTTAATTACTGGAACATATGGATAAAACTGCTGCTGCTTCAAATCAGGAACTCTCCATCAGCTACAATTTTATAACTGTATTAATCAAATTATCACAAATACTTTTAACCGGAACAACACACTTGCTTTTTCTGAACCACTCTTTAATTTTTTTTCTGGTCGATTCAACTCTAAGACATGTTTGACAAAATCATAATACTTTTGTTCTGCGTACTTCCACAACAAAGTCCACTATAATGCCGACTTTAACTTTGGTACAATACTATAACAATACACCTTTTGCTTTACACATCTTCAAATTATTTATAGCTCTAGATACTAATCCGATACTAATCCGATGGGCCGTGCTAGCCAGTTGTTTTCAGAGGACCAGTCAACATTAAGTACTAGTATCTGGATTCCAAAATCTTGAATTGAATTTCTTTAAAACTTTTTTTGGTTTTTATTGTCAGCGAATCTATCAACTGTAAATGGGGCCCATTTTTTATCACACAATTGAAAAATATTTACAGAAATAGACTAATCATCTTAAACAAAAATTTTACTAAAATAATCTGCTTAAATGTTTTCAGTTCTTGGAATCCACTCCATTTCTAATGAAATACAATTCATTAAGCATTCTTTATAGAATTTTACAGCTAATTCTTGTAAATCTTGTTTCATACAACATATTCGAGAAATGTGGATCACATTTTGATTATCGCTGTAAATTGCAACAAGTTTACTTTTAAAATAATTTTTTAAACTCTCTTAAATAAATTTTTTTATGGTAAAAACAAACTTTTCATGAATCTATCTAATCTTAAGGAAAACTGTCATACGCGAGAATGACACATTCGCAAGCTCTCTGTCTCGTGTAATAAAAAAAAACGGATAAAAAGTAACTAATAGTAGGTCGAAATGACCGAACATTTAAACATCGATATTTGATTTATATGTAAGTTTGAAAGATGTTTTGAATATTTAGCACTAATAAATATTGAAATAAAACAGATTAGATTTCTTTTCATTTAAATGAATTTTGGCATATCTGATGCATATTCTGTAACAAAAAAACCAAAAAAAAACATTTAAAAAAATGAAATAATTTCACTACAAGATTGCCAAAATTTATTAATACGTTCATATTTTAAAGAACTGGGATGAACAATGTGATAAAACTAGAAGACGCTGTTAAATGTGTTACATTATTTAGAGTTTAGTCATGTTCAGGAATGATGATATAAAACGATTAAAAATCATATAATAAAACAACTTAAGTCATATTCACGTAGGTGAAAGGAATAAATTTATTTTAGCTTTTCATTCACTAATGGTAGTAATAGTGTCAAACTAATGTGATTTTAATTGAACAAGCTATTGTAAAAGACTTGTTTGAAATTTCGGATAGAAGATTAAAAAGCATTGAGAATTACAAGAACTTAATTCTAGAGAATTTTTAAAGTAATAAAAAAGGTCTAAAAATAATTATAATTCCTGTTTTTTTACAGGTTTGTACCATCTGTCATTGAATATATAAAATAAGAAGCCAACCGTCTATAAAACAAAGGAGAAATTGGGGCCAGGATTGAATAAATTTTGTTGCTGCATTAGTGTCGGGCTCGGGATTCAGAAAATTAACTCCTCTTTGGTATTCGAACGTAGAATAGAAGTAAGTGGTCGTGACCTTCTGATACTTTCCCTCTGATTTAGTGTAGAACTGCAGACTGCACGTGCTCTCTGCCACGTCATTCAACAGCTCGTTGAACGTCATTCCGAATTTTGCTACGCCATCAGACAAAAGTGTAAGATTACAAATCCCAGCAGAATTCATTTTGAAGGACAGTTTTTGAGAATCTATCTCTCTGATTTTCAAAGTTCCAAAGATTCGATGACCGTAGTCACCAGTAAACTGACTCATTATCCATTAGGCTTGCCTGGGTGGACACTGTGTTGTTGTTTGTAGCAGACGTTCCTGTGGATTTCCATGAAGAGGGGAAACTGCACATGGTGGTGTTGTCTAGCCACGGTTTTTCACCCAGAAGAATGTCTGAGAGTACATAAGTTAACGGTGCGAGAGAGTTTGTATAATCCATGTACCAGGGCCCGTTGACAGATATGACAAATCCAGCATTCTGATCAGGGAAGAATCCAGCCACAGCGGAGTAGCCGTACCAGGTTCCGGGATGAAGCAGCTTTTTATACCCTAGAAAATAATGATAAAAAAATATATCAATAGAAATTCTAAATACAAGTTGAAGAGAATCGAAATTTATTCATTTATACGCTGAATTTTCATTAATAAAACTAGAAACAGATTAGGCATTCGAAATATAACATAAAAAATAGGCAAAATAGTTCAAAGGAAAAAAAAGACTTTATTAGGATTTTAAGCAACGGATGTGCTTTCAAACAGAAATTTTCATTTACCTTGACCATTGCCCTATAAGTTTTGTTCGAGGTTGCTTTACAAACGATAATTCTATGGGTGATTTATAAACTAAATAGGGCCCCAAGAATAGCAAATATGATTCAGAGAAGAATTTTACAAAACAGAGGCCCAGGGGTACATTGAGCACTATGGCAAATAAATATAAAAGACGTGTACACACAAACCTCTATATGACCCGCCATACCACCCGTAACCGTACCAGGTCCCGGAGGCCTGCACAGGAAAATCCTCGTCAAGACGGAATCGATTTCTGGAAAAAGCATCTAATAACATTTGTGGTTCAATGATTTCCTTGAAAACATCTGGATGAATTAATTGATATCCATCCACTGTTTTTCCTCCAGAGGCCATGAATCGAATCCATTTCGCCAAATCTTGAGGTGAGGCAGCAATACATCCGGCCGGTCCAACATCTCCAATTCTGTGAGAGTATTTAATGGAAAACGTTTAACAGATACATGTATGTGATTCTTGACCCCTTGATCTTGAAGTACTTTTTAAGAAATTAACATTAAACTGAGTTTGCCTTAACTTTTAGAATGAGAAGAGTGGCTTGAGCAAAATTAATTTTTAAACCGGTAATTCATCAGCATTTGGAAACACTGTGTATTATTTAGATGTAGGTTAGTCTCGCCTACCTCCCAGGACTGGACCCACATATAGGAGTTATTTGTAACAACCTCTTATAAATGCATAAAACACTATTATAGTGTTTTAAAATCCATGTACAAGACAATCTAAAGATAATTTATCATTACCGTAACACTGATGTCATTACCGAAACGATTTGATTCAAGGGATTTGTTTCGGTAAGGACAGTTTCGGTAAAGACATTTTGAAATGTTAAACAGCATATAGAGGGCGCTACTTGCCAAAAGGGGTTAAATAATGTACAACACAATTCAAAACAAATCTATATATCTTTCTTAACAATTGTATTTTTCCTAGGTGATCGTACTTTTATTGTAGCAAGCATTTGGTAATGACACTGAATAAACATACGCTCGAAAGTAAGACCATTTACAATTTACTATCTGCTTACTTACCCACAGGAGAACATTATGACTTATATCAAAGATGGCGGTTTCTGAAACTTTTAATCACGTGGCTTCTTTTTTTGGATTTTCTTTCTTGTCTCTGATATTTTGCAGTTTTCACCGTTTCGGTAATGACAAGAATATCAGGGACACCGTTTTACAAACAATAGATTAATATTTAAAAAAAAAGAATATAGTAGTAACCCGTATCTTTTTAAAATCAACAATGAATATTTTATTATACCTTAGCAATCTCGACAGGTTAAATTTTGACATCAGTTTTCACACACGCATATTCAATATTACAATTTTGATTTTGTAGTTTGGGACATGGCATTTCAAAGCAAGTCCATGAAGTTAATTTTTTTAGAAGTAATGTTGCTTTCAGAGGTGTCCTTATTGTGTGTATGCATATCTATTATCTCCTTCTACAATATTCCAGATTTATTTTTAAAATCTCATAAACCAGGTATTGCTCAACACATACTAAAATGACGGGACACCATTTGGGTCTCTATTCGTAGAATGACCCGTAAAGAATTTGAATACTTACTGGTATATATCCTGATTTCCTGGTCGTACTCCTTCCCCGGCGGAATGATATGGGAGTGCGTACTCCGACTGAGAACTGTTTGGATAAATATTGGTCCCACAAACAGCCTGAAACATTCCTAAAGCCCGCAAAAGTTTCTAGTCAATCAGTTTTTCATATTCTCGGCCAGTCCACACTTCCGCCACGTGACCAGCTATTGCGTACAGAAGGTCGTTGAAGATCCATGTATCCCGAAAAGAAGCACTTTTTGGTAAATACAGTGGACCTTCAGATATCCGGACGCCAGATATCCGGATGCTTCAGTATCCGGACGAATTTTCATCAGGACGGAATTTTTGAAATGTTATTTTTTTTTTGTTAACTAGTGATTCAGGTATCCGGACGCTTCACATATCCGGATAAATTGCTGGGAACCAAAGTGAGGGTCCACTGTACTTTAATCTCCTGAAATCACATAATTATTCAAATATCTGTTTCCGACTTTAAAGGTATTTATAATTAAGAAATAAAAAAAAAATTCCGAAGAAAAAATAAAAATATTTCCTTTTAATTACTACAGAATTTTTACGATTAATATGAAAATAATTTTGTAATATATCTTACTTAACAAATTCATCCCGGCCTATTTTCGGTAGCCCTCCGGTAGATGTATACATCCGCGGGACTAAACCCCGTGTGTTGGCTCAGTAGATCCTTGATTGTCAATTTGGACTCCAGAAATTTATCCGGCAGTTTGAAGTCCTCTTTAAATACAGCAGACAGTTTTGTATTCCAGTCTCGCCTGTAATCATTATGCTTAGAATGTAATCAGAAACAATGTACATTTATCGATGAAGTTGTATACACCATGACAATCATGACATACGATCTAGGGCAATGCTATACTATGATGCCTTCATTGTTTACTGTTTACATATTTACAACTTATATATCAATTAAGGACAGACGAGACGTTTCTTAATAATAGATAAAATTTTCAAAGATTCTGTCATTGAGGTATTGCTACTTAAACATGTTTACTCACAAAAATTCGAGGTACCTTACCAGGCATTTCTGCAAGATACCAGGGGTAGTTTTTCTTATATAATCCTTTTGGGAGGAAAAACAATTTTCAAGTTTTAAATGTTTGAGTGTTTGGATTTTTTAAAGACGTTTAGAAACTGGTTTAGAAATCAGAATGTAATTAAAATTTTGAATATTTTCCATACATTACGAAGATACACGTAACAAATTTTGAGGAACGTCTCGTCTGACCTTAAGAGCCAGTCCGCGAGAAAACCATGCAAAATTCAAAACATTGTCCGAATGGAAGGTTGCAACTTGGTAGTTTTCAGTGGCTTAAAATTTTCTACATAAAGGTAGAAGTCAGAATATCTACATAAAAATGTTGAACCCTGCATCTATTTTTAGTAACAGCTCATTTGCATATTTGTCGAAAATCACACAAAATTTAATGGAAAATCTATATAAATTGATCAAGTCAAAAAGAAAAGATTAATAAATTCATTTTCAAGTTCAGGATATTAAATATACGAGTGTTTCTAGTACCCAATCGTTTAACCCCATCCACCTCCCCACAATTTACATAATAGTGGTAGTTTTGAAATGGATAAAATAATGAAAAATGATAGGGGTTCTGGAGGGGTGTTTCTAAAACGAAGAACGGAAAACAGAACAGAAAACGTTTTATATCTTTTATCACTTTAAATACACAAATTTATAAACAATATATATTTCATAAATTCAACCCTCCATTATTTAATGCAGGTTGGTTTATTCATGTTCATAAATCATTTCTTACTCACGAAAATCGCAGTCATAGCAGTGACGTAGAAACTATTTTGAAAGGGGGGATTTAACTTACCTGAAATCAAAGCGAAAAAAAGAAGGCGATTGTTTAATTTTAGGAGGTCACAGGCGAGATAAGAGTAAATTCCAGCATCCTTTAGTTTCTCAAACTTCTTTATGGAGTATCTTGTATAACATCTGTCAGTATTTTTATAATATTGCGCCAGTTTAATTTGAAATTGGCAGAAAGCCTGGAGTATCTTGTATAACATCTGTCAGTATTTTTATAATTTTGCGCCAGTTTAATTTGAAATTGGCAGAAAGCAAACAACTTACTGAAGGCTCAAAATGTATATGAATGATACTAAAATAGAGTCTGTTTGAATTTAAATACTTGAAATCTGCCTTTTATTAATTAAAGAGAAACTATTAAACTTACAAAATTAAAGAAACATGAATATTCAAATATTCATGTGATTGTTGAAAAATTGCAAGTAAGCCAATACAATTTATTATGCTTTTTAAGTTCTAAACAAGTGGCAAAATACCAATCCTCATATTGGGTAATTTCTGACAATTTGGTTTAATTTATTGTTTAGAGTTATATTTGTACAATAAAATAAAATAAATAAATTTCAAAGATTGCTCTTCGAAGATTTGGGCACTCAATTTGTAATACTTTTAGCATTTCTTGAAAATTAGCATGATGCCAATTTTCAAGAGTTATCTGCCCCTTTGATATATTGCTTATTTGATTATGATAAATGTCAGTTTTGAAAGAACATAGTCTTATGTTACTTAAAAATACCTTAATAGAAATGTAAATTTAAATGTGAGTAAAATAAATCAAATGTGAATTTTACCATTTTTCTTGATTTTTTCAAGTTCATTTGTACTTAAATGTGCAAAAAGGAGGTGGCGCTGACTACGGCTGCCATATTGCATGATGGGAATTTTTTGGTCATTTTTGAATAACATATTGTAAAGTCTAACTACCCACCAAATTTCATTAAGATATGACAACCTTCGATTCGGACAGTTCTGCATGGTTTTCTTGCGAACTGGTTCTTTTATTAAAATTATGCAATCCTTAATGATGTGTTTTTTTCTGTTTAAAAACTAAAAGAAATACGATTTATTAATCTTGCTGCCTGGCATTAAAATTTACTTCATACGATGATTTAATTAAATTTAAGATTTATGATTAACATAAAAAAACAGATAGATGTTGTGATGCATTTTCTGGACTTTATGCTAAAAAGAGTGGTGATTACGCCTCATAGTCATAACTTCTTCATTGACTGAATGCTATCATTTAGTACAGGTTATGAAGATGGGCGTATAAGGCGGGAAGAATGCCTATAGCGTCAGATATTAAGAAACCACATTTGATATGCAAATCGACATTTTGATTTTATTTCTCATTATTGAAATTTATCAAATTATGAAAAAAAAATCTGAGAGAAAATAAACATCTTGAAAAATTTCATTTATAAAAACATTAGACGGGTATACGCGGGATTCGAACCCCTGCAATACCGAAGTAACCAACTGATTTGAGACTAATATGGCCTATTATGATTAGGAGCATTTAAATCACGTTTGTGATATGACCCTTGACTTAATGAACCTGGAAGTATTTTTCAAAAAGTTGCGAGTGTTTTGTCATAAATGTGTACTATTAATGTATAGTGGGTCTTCGCTCCATTTTTTTTTTCTTTTTTTTTTTGTAAACAAAAGAAATTTATTTTATACATGTAAGTTTCATTTTTACTTGCACAGCGGTTCTGGAGAAGAAGATTTTTAACATTGTTATGGGACGAATTCACTAGAACACACTGTATCCCATTTCTTTATTAGTAAAAAGCTAAAATCAAAACAAAACAAACAATCAGTTTACAATAAATCAATAAAATGCAATAATAATGACAAAATAATTCAGAATTTTCAATTATAACCATAATGTGTTTCCATAGCTTTCTAATATCTTATGTAATAAAGATCACAACTGTGTTCCATACTTTTTAAATCAATTAGCAACCACGTGTATCATGTTTCGTTCAATTACTACACAAATAAAGCTTGATTTCACATCAATTACATAGAAAAAGATGGATTCGATTCATATCGACATAATATAGTGTGATATTGTATGCATATACAACATTTCAATTGCAAACATCGCAATACACAAATCTGCGCACTATGCAGAAAATAGGTCATGTCAGCCAACCGACAAATCAAGAAATTGTGCATCTTAACACAGTATGCATTCTTATGCACCTTAGAATAATGATCTATTACATAAGTTTACACAATTAAAGCATTTAAGTATACAACTTACACTATGGAACTGCATTAATCACTGCAAATGAAGTGAGACAACGTGCTCTGCTCTTGCCGACATTACAAAAACAAAAGTAAGTCGTACGTAAAATGTTTCGTAAAACATCACACTCCCCGCCTAATATCCTAAGGATATTACTTAACTCAAACATACAACATATATAAAAAAAAATAAAAACAAATATCACGTTACATCATAGATGACTGTAAGAATGAACAATTGAGTTTAAGTCAATCAATTAACAGTACCAACTCTGTAATTGGTCTAATGTATGTAGTGTCCTTGCCATCTCTGACAACACGAACTTGAACAGTTCTGACTTTTTGATCACTATCACTCTTGAAAACTTGAACGATTAGACCCATAGGCCACTGTCCACGGTGTAACTCCTTTTCACGTAACAGTACCACATCCCCTACTTTTATATCCGGATGTTCAGACTGCCACTTTGTCCTATGCTGGAGATGTTGCAAATATCCATCCTTCCATCTCTTCCAGAAGGTATCAGAAAGATGTTGCACATGTTTCCACTGCGCTTTATATATTTCCTTGATGTCCGATGAATCCTTTGGAAGAACGTCAGGGAAACTTTTCTGGGTAAGTAGCATTGACGGACTGATGACGTACGGATTGTCAGGATCACACGACACAGAACAGATTGGTCTAGAGTTCACGATAGCGCACACCTCACACATGAAAGTACACAATACTTCATGGGATAACTGCTTCATATTAGGGTTAAGTAACATGGAATCGAGTATCTTCCTAGAGATCCCGATCATTCGCTCCCAAGATCCTCCTCTGTGCGAAGCATGGGGTGGGTTGAATGTCCATGTTATTTTATTGTCATGCAGGTAATCTTTTAGTGGTCCCTTTTCTGTATATATTGCTTCTGCTTGAATGACGTCTAGAGCACCTACAAAGTTAGTCCCTCTATCAGACCGTATTTCCTTGACCGGACCACGCAAGGAAACAAAACGTCGTAATGCGTTTATGAATGATGAGGCACTCATCTCTTCTATCACCTCTATGTGGATAGCTCTCGAAGTTAGGCAGGA